GAGAGGCCAGGCAGGCTCCCCACAGCCAACCTCTACCATCTCTCCCCTTGAGCGTGTGGCTTCAGGCAGACTGGTTCTGCAGCCTTGTGCCTAAAGAAGAGTCCCTAAGGAGGGACAAGGAAACCCATGGGGGCCTGACTCCTGCCCTGGGGCTGTTCCTGAGACAGCTCAGGTGAATTTTCTGATGGCTCTGAGTTTCAGAAGTCAGGAAAGCTGAGAAGGGGCAAGTGAAGCTCATGCTTCCAAATGACCACGAGCAGCTGAACGTGTTGGGGGGGAATTAACTGCATCCTGGCCTTGCAGAGCTGCCAGTGTGTTGTGCAGGGTCTCCTCAGGCAGCAGCTACTGGGCTTTACGGGGTGATGGGCACGTGGGAGCACTGGGCTTGACCCCACACTGTGGGCTGCCACAGCAGCACCTGGCAGCACAGGGTGGCTTAGGGGTGGCACCCCCACCCAAATGGCTTAGAGTAAAAGAGACCTTGGTGATGACTGGTCTTGGCCACCCTTGGCAGCAGCCTCCAGCAGCAGGGGTGCTGAGGGACTGCCTGGCAAGGGTGCTGAGGGACTGGCTGGCGGGGTGCTGAGGGACTGCCTGGCAGGGTGCTGTGGGACTGGCTGGCAGGGGTGCACTCGAACATGCTGGTGAGTCCTTGGGCCCACTGAATAGGTTTCCTGTATTGTGAAATGTCTGCTCCTTGGGGGACATGGGCCACTGGAGCAGGGCAAGGGAAGCTCCTTTCACTGGGGCACCTTCACAGCCCTACCAGTGAAAGGCCATGCTGCTTGGGGTTTGATTTGAGCTGCTGAAGAGCAGTGCCTAGTCCAAGAAACCACCAAGTAGGACGTGGTCTTAATTCAGGCCTTTGCAGCCCAGGGAGTGCCCATTTTCTGCATCCTGTGTTCTCAAAGATCACCCTGGGGTTGGGAAGAAAGAAAGGTGATGTGAGCTGTGGGTGGAGCAGGAGAAATCTGGTTTCAGCTGAGGTCTGGGGTAGCCTGTGTTGTGCTGGCCACCTGTGGGAGACAAGGTGGCCTTTCCAGCAGCTGTGCTGGGCAGAGAGGCCAGGCAGGCTCCCCACAGCCAACCTCTACCATCTCTCCCCTTGAGCGTGTGGCTTCAGGCAGACTGGTTCTGCAGCCTTGTGCCTAAAGAAGAGTCCCTAAGGAGGGACAAGGAAACCCATGGGGGCCTGACTCCTGCCCTGGGGCTGTTCCTGAGACAGCTCAGGTGAATTTTCTGATGGCTCTGAGTTTCAGAAGTCAGGAAGGCTGAGAAGGGGCAAGTGAAGCTCATGCTTCCAAATGACCATGAGCAGCTGAACGTGTTGGGGGGGAATTAACTGCATCCTGGCCTTGCAGAGCTGCCAGTGTGTTGTGCAGGGTCTCCTCAGGCAGCAGCTACTGGGCTTTACGGGGTGATGGGCACGTGGGAGCACTGGGCTTGACCCCACACTGTGGGCTGCCACAGCAGCACCTGGCAGCACAGGGTGGCTTAGGGGTGGCACCCCCACCCAAATGGCTTAGAGTAAAAGAGACCTTGGTGATGACTGGTCTTGGCCACCCTTGGCAGCAGCCTCCAGCAGCAGGGGTGCTGAGGGACTGCCTGGCAAGGGTGCTGAGGGACTGGCTGGCAGGGTGCTGAGGGACTGCCTGGCAGGGTGCTGTGGGACTGGCTGGCAGGGGTGCACGGTGCCACCGACCTCAGTGGCTTCAGGAACTGACAGCACTTGGGATTCTCATCTTTTTTTTTTTTGACTTGTGTTTCTATCAGGCCTGAAGTGTGAAGTCCACATGGTGCATCACACTGGTGAGAGATCAGTGGTGGAGATTTTTAGACCAACTCGCTTTGGTCACTGGTTTCAAACATCCCAATGTTTTCTGTGCCTCTCGGGCCTCCAGCTCTGGGCTGAAAAAACACTGATTTGGTGTCTGAAGGGTCCCCAGTGCTGAACCCCAGGGACTGAAGGTGCTGCTGGGACTGGTGGCTGGGAAGAGGGGGCAGTGAGTGCTGCAGCCCCTGGAGCAGAGAGTTTGGAAAGCCCGGGGCGCTGAGCTCTGGGTGATGTTCTCACTGAATCAGGTGTTAAGTGACGTTGGGTTCTCCCGGAGGGTCAGACCGTGCCTGGAGGTTCCCAGTTCCTGGCGCTTTGTCTGCTACAAAGGAGCTTTCGGAGGCGGGGAAGGAGTCACCGCACGTTCTCAGCCTGGCAATTCTTAGATATATATATATCTATATATCATTTTTAATTTACCTGGAGCGCAAACCCAGGCTGGGGGAGCCCGCGGGGCTGCAGCCCGGGCTGCGGGT